TATATTTTCCCTATGAGAATTCATCTCAACCCACAATTTCAAATACCGCCATCATCGAATGTTGATGCTGCCTCTATGTTAATTCAGGCCATCATTTTCTCTCACCTGACTACTGTAAGGGGTCTCCTAACTATTCTCCCATCTCATCACATCTTGCCACCTGCAGCTAGTAGGATATTTCTAAGGCACAAATAAGATCATGCTACTCCTGTGGTGAAAATCCATCAATAGCTCCCCTCTGTTCTCAATAAAAAAAATCCAAGTTACTTAACACAATTTACATGCCCCTTAATGGACTGGTCCCTGCTTACCACTCTAGCCTCATCTGTTATACACCCCAAACAGAACTACCTTCATTTCTCTGAATGTAACCTTTCTACCCTCAGTATGGAGTATACCTTCTTGCCTGGCTAACAATCTACTTGTTTTTTAAGTCACAGCTTAGAGGCTGCTTCCTCTGTGAAGACTTCCATAACGTGCAAAGACTAGATTCAGTGCCCTCCTATGCGATCCTAGGAACTACGTGAAAAAGGTCAGGTGGTATCTACGTTGTCAATCTACAGAGGGTGGTAAAATGTCACTTGGGTGCTAAATATTGGAAATGTGATAAGAGCGACAATATTTTACATATCAGGGCTTCTCAAGGAATATACTATATTAGACAGAAGAGAATACTGTGATAAATACATTGGTGTGGGTGATAGTCCTCACAAGGGACGTGATAGGCAAACATTCTCAATCCAGTCACCACCAACATGGCCCCCCGCACCCCCCCAATCCAACCCTATGCATTTGAAAATATGTGTGGCCATTTTTGTTGTTGATGTCAGCATGGCTGGGAGCAGTATTGACATGGGTGGCAGGGATATCATAATGCATAGTGACAGTCCCACACATGGAAGAATTGTCCTACCCAAAATGCTAATAAAACCTCCATTTAGAAACACTGTTCCAGGAGGTATGCAAATCTGGGAGCAGAGCTGAATTGCTCAGAATAAAAGGGGGGAAGCTGAGAGCTGACACCTGATGACTTCCATCTCCACCCACTCCCCATGCAGAGCTCCATCTCACCTGTAAATAAATGCTGAGTACCCGCTTTTAAAAATATTGGTTTAAAGAAAATGTTAAAATATATATTGGTTTAAAAAAGAGCCAAATTATTAGCCCAAGCAGCATCTAATATCTCTTTCTCACTCTGCATCCTTGCACCCCAGTACTTATCTCACTATAAAGGAATTATCTGAGAATTTGGCTGTATCCCCAACTTGAGTTCAGGGACCATGCTGTATTGTATTGCCAGAACCTAATACAGTGTTTGGCACATGATAGATGCTCAATAAATATTTCTGAACTATGATTCCCAAAATTTAAAAATTAGCCCTGAAATCTTTTCTAAGTGTCAACCTTACATCGTATCACTGATTTTACATTTCCAGTTGAACATCTCAAACTTAACAGATAGAAGAAGAATCATCTACTTTGATCCAGTGCTAAAACCTCTCCCCAAAGAATCCTAGTTCCTCTTACTATGGCAAATGCTATCACCTTTTTGGGATGCTCCCAATAGTCTAAGCCGAAAGTCTGCCTGTCACCCATGTCTTTGCCTGATTCCTCACCTCCCCAAACCTGTCAATTCCAACTTCCAATTATCTCCTGGGTTCTTTCCCTTCTCTCTGTCCTCAGCATCCCTGGCATTAATTCAGGGTCTCTTATATACATTACTGCAATTGCTTCCTAAACCGTATCTCCATCCCATCCGCTTGACTGTCACCTTTTAAAACATCTAAAATATATTCAAAATAATAGTAATCAATACTTTGTGGGCTTACTGTGGTGCCAGGCACTACTGACTTTTACGTGTATTTTCTTTTTGACTCTTCATAATAGTCCCAGTTTGAAATAACTTCCCAAGGTCGTTCAGTAAGCAGACAGAGACAAGATTTGAACCCAGGTAGCCTGGCTCAGAGCTGTGCTAGGCTAGGCTATATAACCTCCTGGAACATTCTGCCATATTGTTTCACATATACATGTATGGGTCTGATTCTCCTCCCCTGGTGGATGGCCTAGTTGTAGTGAGTCTTTTTTGAGCTAACGCTTGCTGAGTATTCCTTACCCAGAGCTGTTGGTATACTGAAAATGTGAGTGGTTGTTATGAGGTCAATAAGCCTAAGAAGTAGATCCAAAGTGTTATTAGACAAGAGGTCTCCAGGGTGAAACTGAAAGCTCGTGCAGAGACCAAGGAACACCTAAGCCACAGACACATGAGGGACAGGCTAAGAGAAGGGTGATCTGGATATGCTGACAACTACTACTGCCCATCTTAGCCTTTATGTGCTCCCTACTGTGTGATGCTTACATGGGTGGGTGCTTTAAAGGGCTGGGGCTAAGTGGCCAGCCTGAAGTATACTACCTCCCCCTTGTTTGTCCAGCTAACTCCAACACGTTCTTCAAGATTTAGTTTTAGCATTATTCCTATCTTTTCCGGTCTGCATGAATGCCCCTCCTCTGTGCTTCTCACAGTTTTGTGAGACCGTAAACTCCTTGAGGGTAGGTACTGTGGCTTTTCTTCTCTGTATTCTACACCACTAAAATCTAATAATCATTGACTCTAAATGCGTTATAGGGAGGCAGATTTTGGCTTACAAGAAGAGAAATTTTAAAAAGTATACTGTAAAGCACAGTATAGACTAGTGGTTAAGAGTCCAGCTTTCATATCATGCTACCTATTCAAATTTCAGCTTTCTGTTACCTTGAGCAGCTTAATCTGTGCCTCAAAAAATGGAGATAATAATACCCGTCATCAAGTTGTTGTGAGAATTAAATGAGATAATACACGGAAAGTACTTGGTTCAGTTCCTGGCACCCTGTAAACACTTGTGAATGTTAGATTTTTTTTTTTCTATTATTGTTATTATGATCCTTCACTAGCACTATCTCATAACGAGGCAGGTTGCTTTGGAAGCAGTGAGTTCCGTTTTACCAAAGGTATTTAAGCAGCAGTAAATCCAGGAGAGATGTTGTAGAAGCAGTTCTTGAATTGAAAACATTAGATGACTTCTAAGGATGCTTCTAATCATAGAAGAGGGAAACTATTTCTCTGATTCAAAGAAAGTGTGATCATCAGTGTTAATTCTAGCAAAGTTGAGGAGTGTTAGAATACAAAAAAAGACATCGGATTTGGCTGTATGTATATATTACAAGGAACAAAATATTTTATTCTTTGTGAGCAGTTAATTGTAAAAGCCCTTTCATTTACGTTGTAACCCAAATGGCAAATCAGGGCCTTACAAGAAAATCTCTCTTTTCAAAAGGACTAGCTTGGCTCCGCCAAAATGGAATAAACAAAACTTTAAAGACTGTTTCAGCCCTACTGAAATGTCTTTTTCCTTTGAAAGGAGTCTATTAGTGATGCAAATACAAAATTATCTGCACAGATGATAATCCTAGCAAACAAAACAGTGAAATCATTAGACCCTTCTTGTGTAGCATTCAATCCTGAGAATTTGGCTTTCCGGCATTAAAAAGGCAGAGAAAGAGAGCAGAACTGGTTCCTACTTGGGATAGATTCCTAGGTCTGCTTATCTGAATCCTGGGCTAATTATCCTCATGTTTGGTTTAAAGAGGCCAAACAATTCTCCACATGTGGACAAGCTAAAAGAAGGTCTGCACTCCAGGCTCCCAGCAAGTGCCTTAAACTTAAAAGTGAAAAGCATGATCCTTAGCCATGGAATAACATTTACAATCAGGAGTTTAATTCTCAAGATACCATAGTCTTAAGGTAGATCCTTCCAGAAGAAATCCAATGAAAAGCACTCATAGGGCACTAATTTAAGTGATATACTCATATTACTGATGCTTTAAAATAATTAAAAATTAGACAATTGAAAGGCTACCTTGTATAGGTGAAGAGATGGTAATTTCCCAACACCTTTTAGTCAATAGATACTCAGAGTAAACAACTTCTTTGAGAATGTAATAAATATGTAATCTTACTGTGAGCAAAAGAATAGAAAAGATAAAAATGTACGAGAGAGTTAACTGTAAGTAGTTTGCCTGACTATTATTTGATTACACTTATCTTATCCTTGACCCGTTGGGTAAGACCTAGTTTCTTAGGCGCCACCAGGCATTAGGCGATATCAGTGGTCAGAAGGTGTGGTGCCTAAGCGTATGAGGAAAGCATTTCTGAAGCACAGCTCCAAAGTGGTATTGCCAAAGTGGCCATCACCTACTCGATTAAAGATTTTGGATGCCTAGTGGGCAGTTTATTGAGAAGAAGAAACTGACCTTCCACATCCACATGCTTTCCTGGGAAGGTATTAACAGTTGGAGCTGGTGTCCACATAGATCGGACGTAATGCTGACAATCTGAGTCTTAAGCAGGGTGGGGCTTTAGGTAGGTAAGCCAAAGAGCTTCCGGATCATCACATGTGTACATTTCAAGTGCAGGTATGGATCTTATCCACGCTCCACCCTCAACCCTCCGCCACCTCTCCTTTGCAAGGTTGCTTGACAGCTTGCACAGGCCCCGCCCGGTCTTTGATAATCTACACTTCTCTGGTAAGGAAGGTCAATCACTGTTTCAGTTCTGTGCTCTGCCTGCCTCCCACGCCCTCCACGCGGGCTGGCTGGCGGCCGTTCGGCGTGTTTTTCCTCCAGAGCTTCCTACGCCCTACCCACTCCACATGCCTACCTGGCTGCCATTCCTGGTCTGTCCTCTTACGCAAAAGAGGGTGCAACCTGGCAGGCCAACACCAAGGGCCCGAGCTAACCCAGGGCGACCCCTTCCCCGCAATCCCAGAAAGTCTGAGGTACTCGGCTGTGTCCTATGTGTAGCTACTTCTAAACAATAAAAGTTTGGGACACTGGCTGTCTTGCAAACTAAAACTATACTACTTGCTTAGGATTGGGACCTGATTCCGCGACGTCAAACTTTGTCGTTAGGGGAATCAGAAAAGAATAGGAGCTTGTCTCTCCCGCGGTCCCCGGGGCGTCCAAACCTTTTCCGGCTTCGCTCGGCTGCGGTCGGGCGCGGGTCCGCTGCCTGGGAAGCCGCGGCGCCTGGGGTCGGGCATCTCCGGGCCGCCGGACCCCGCCGGGCAGGCGCGCGGAGCCGGAGCGCGCACGGCGCGGGACGCGCGCGGAGCCGGGGAGCGCTCACTCCGGGATCGCGGCTGCGCAGTCGGGCGGGAGCAGGGAAAAGGGGGAGGAGGGCGGAGGAGCCGGAGTAAGGGGAGGGGGAGGAGCGGCGAAGGCGGAAGCCATGTTGGAGTTTCACCCCGAGCGAGGGGCTGCGAGCGTTCCCCTCTCCCTGTGGGTGTGACCGGGGTTCGGCGCGGCCGCGGGCTGCGGGGGGCGGGGACGGTTGAGGCCGGTCGTCGTCGTCCGCGGCGGCCGCAGCGTGGAGCCGGGCGATTGTGACCGCCGGGGGAGCAGGGGGCCGGCCGCAGCTCCCACTCTCCGTGTGGCCCCCTGAGCGCCCCCCCTCCCCTGCCCGGGAGGGAGGCGGGGGGCACCCGGGGCCCGCCATGAACCCCGGCTTTGATCTGTCCCGCCGGAACCCGCAGGAGGACTTCGAGCTGATTCAGCGCATCGGCAGCGGCACCTACGGCGACGTCTACAAGGTAAAGGCGAGGGGCTGCGCGCCGCCGAGGCCGCGGGGTCCCACCCGCAGCGGGGAGGGCTGGGGGCGCCGCCAAGCCCGGCGTCGGAGTCCGCGCTGCCTCTCCGCGGGAGCCGCTGGCGCTGGGAGCAGTGGGGGAGGAGGAGGAGCGGGCGCCCAGGGCTCTGTGCCTCGAGCGAACAAAGGGCCAAATGTTGAACCCCGAGACCTCCGAGTCCTTACCTGAGCCCTCTCCTGGACGGGCCTCTCCCGGGAAGGGCAGAACGCGAGCGGGCACCTCCGATCGCCGTAGCGCAGAGAGGGTCTGGGCGTTTGTTGCATTGGCAGGGTCAGTGCGACGAACCAGACAGCAGGGGTTTGGCGTATGTCAAACCTGCGTGCTTCAGACGGACCTAGGATTGTTCGCTGTCGGTTGGGAACTGCTCCCCACCAGGCCCGGTGGTAGTTATTACACTGGGCATTCTCCATCGACAGTCCCTCAACCCTTAGCCTCTTAGCATCCGCATACCACTTTCTTTTAATTTTCCGAGTAATAACTTTCTTTTGTAAAAGAGATCTAGTTGGTATGATTTTTTTTTTTTTTTTTGGAGGAAACACCAACTTTGTTTTCTCCAAGTCGGCTTGGACTGTGATGCCTCACTAAACTTGACTTTGTTAGTGACACATAGGATTCAGCTTTTTTTTTTCCCCCAGTGAATTGAATACTTAGGGACGGTACTGGTTTGACAAAGTTAGAATTCAAAGTCCATTAGTAGTACAGCATTCCTGTTGTAGACGGACCACTTCTAAATGTGGGAGATAAATCCCTCTTCCCTGGCCAGCTCAACTCTTGGCCTCGCAGAGACTGCCAAGAAGGAGGATAGTGCCAAATGTGGCAGCAGTCTTGATTTAGTTGTGTATCTTCTTCCTGGTAACCGAAGTGGCCCTCCTCCTGTTTCACATAACACCTGAGGGCGCACAAAGAAACTTAATTTTACTTTGGAAAGTTTAGTCGTAACTTCATTTTGTCCACGTTTTAGTAATAGATTTTTACTTTTACTCCAGTGTATTGCATATGATAACTTAGATATTTAATACAGTGCAGCCAGTATTTTGCATTAGTTTTGTTTTGTGGATGATTTGCTTTCCATCGTCACATCACTTTTCCCCATAGACAGTACAAGTGTGTTGTGCACACCTACTGTGTATAAGGTACTGGGCGTCAAAGCGCTTGGATTGTAGCAGTAAAAGATAGGTATGTTCCCAAGTCTTATTTGCAGTTGATACTTTTTTTTAGACAAGAACAGCATTAAACAACCATTTAAGTATATTATTGCAGTTTTATTTTGTGCTGCAGAGGAGAAGAGAAGATTAGGATTAGGGTTATGAGAGCATGTAGCAGGAGGACCTGATCTTCTTTGGGGAGTCAGAGGCAATGAGGAGAGGGGATTATGCCAGATAGAAGGAGCACAATCTGTGAAGGCTCTGAGGCCAGAGGGAATGGGGTAAGGATTTGAAAGAATGCCTATGTGGCCTGAGCAGCCGGAGAGGGAGGATGGCCCTAAATCGTGCAGGACTCAGGTCTTGTAAGGAGGTCGTTGGACTTCTCCTTAGGACAGTGGGGAGCCATTGCAGGATTTTAAGTAGGGGAGTGAAGTTGGATTTGGATTTTTAAAAGATCTACCTAGTGCAGTGTGGGGAGTGGAGACTGGAGGAGGAGGAGCAGTAAGGAGACCATTGCAGTAGTTCAGATAAGAATAGCCGTTATTGTGTTTTGGAATTGGTGGTGATTGTAAAAGTTGAAGTGAGTGGATCCAAGTAACTTAGAACTGGTTAAGGGAGGTTAGTTATTCAGATGAAAAGTTAACTAAAACTTTGGTAATGTATAAGTCTTAGGTGGCAGTGTGTACACTAAGTTCTTTTTCAGTTCTTTACAAGAATAATTGGCCATGTATTTACGTGTTTACCATAATCAGAAAAAAACAGCTGGTAGTTAAGCCACATGATTAAAAAGTTAAAAAATTGAGGCCTGTAATTTCCTAAGGACATCTAAGTGCAATACAGGTATAAATTGATTAACCTTGTCATCTGTTTAAAATGATGATAATAAAAGCTAACATTTATAGAGTGTTGATTACTTGCCAGGCACTGCTCTAAGATTTTTCCATGTGTTAACTTACTCCTCAGAACGACCCTATGAAATAGACGCTGTTACTAACTCCATTTTGCGATGAAGAAACTGAGGCACAGGGAGGTTGTAGTAACTTGCTAAAGTTGGTAGGTGGCAAAGCCAAAATTCAAACCAGTTAGCTTTAGAGACTGTGTTCTTAACCAGTAGGCAGTACTGCTTGTCTAAAGACAGGATATAGGCAGATAATGTATTATCCCATTTCCAGTGGAGAAACTGAGGCACACACTTAGTTCAGCATTTGAGTTGTAGCCACACTCTGAATTAGAGTGGATCTTTAAGTAGTAGTTGGAGTACCTAACTCCTGCTGTGCAGCCAGGCCTCACTGTTTTTGTAGAGTCTGCCAAGTGGACATCAGATAATAGATGCTTGATCCTCGCCTGCCAGACTCTTCAAATACCAGGGGCCCAAAGCAGAGAAACTCGCTGTGGTTTTTGGCATCATACCCTCTGCTTGCTAAATAACCCACAGCTTAAACTATATGTGTTTTTGTCTGTAATCATGTTCATGCTATAAAGATAACATTTTTTGTATTTGTTTTGCTATTTTTGATTTTTCTTGTTTGTACAAATTGTGTTGATTAGAGAGGAGTGCATTAGAGGATTTGTTTTTAAAAGCCAGTGTATATAATTTGCTCCTTAATTTGTCAGTGTTTAAGTGCTAAAAACGGAATGATTGGATTAAGTAAATAAGTTAGAGACCTAATTATTTATAGTCATTCTTAGAAGGTTGGTGTTTTAAGGGATTTTTAATTTTGAAAATTGTATCCTACCCGATGTAATAATATGCTTATTATATCTAAGGTGGCATGGCTTAGTTAAAAAGCACTGAACTAGAATGTGGAAGATCTGGAATTTATTAGCTACGTGGCCTTGTAAAATCATTTAGTCTCTCACAGCTGTGTTCTTGTGAAGGTATTATTACCATCATATGCCCTTCTGCTTATGGTGTTAAATAAATGACTTGAATTTTACTCAACAAATAAGTTTATATTTTTTCTAGGCCAGAAGTTGCAATTATAAATATTTACTCTGCACTGTCTTAAAGTACATGAAAATGTAGTTTGAAAAAAGTCATACGTACTTTTAAATGTCCTATAACTGTGGGCTTTATCTGTCAGTCAGATGAAGTATCTGCAGCAGGGATTACCTAGGGACCTACGCGTTGACAACTAGAGAGAGCTCCGTATTGGGCCTCAGGAGGCCCATGAAGCCCTCTGAAATTAAAAGGCTTAATATTATGTATGAGTGTTTTTAGGGAGAGATGGCTTATAGCATATATTACATTCTCAAAAAGGTCCATGATCCCCCCCAAAAGAATGAATTATGTATAGGCTTGTCATTTGAAAGAGTATTTTTGGAGAAATTAGGGAGTTCTATACCAGATTACATTATCAACATTAGTATGATTGTCTCATGCATTGTGCTATCTTTTCTCAGGCATTTTTCCAATTTAATTTGTATCATTCCTATTCTTAAAAGCCTTCGTGTCCTGATGTTTTTCTGTTATTGCTAGAGAGAAGCACAACGTACTAAAGCTGGAGATAGGGAAAGGCAAAGGATGTTTTGAAGGAACAGTCTTAATGTGTTTCTGAGAAAGTATTTTATCTAGGCTTATGGCTTTAGCCTAGTCCCTGTGAACGACTCCTAGATGTCTCCAGCCTTGTGCTTTCTCCTGAGTTCTAGCCCATTGTCTCCAGCTGATCTCACAGACTACATCTTCCTCCACATGTGTGCCTCTCCCCATATCCCACTTTTGTCAAAAGCTCTAATATTGACTGTTTGCTAATAAGGCTTGAAGCCTTGGAACCATCTTTTACTTCTGGACTGGACTTCATGGGCATTTTCCAAAGTGTGGCCGGGGTGCTCCAGGAAAAGCAGTACTATGAGTATATTAAAGACTGAGAAATCCTATGGGAAAGGAACCTGTTACACTTTGCTTAACCCAGCAAAACTCCAAACTTACTTGACTGTGGGATTCTTTTTCTCTGTAATGCCTGTTACTTGTCCTTAGAACTAGTGTCTTGGAGAATGTGCTTTGGAAATAAATGTTGGTGTTGATATTATCTATGTATGTTTGGAAGCCATTCCCTCTGAAGCAGAGGCTGCAGTGTTGCTGAACTCCAAAGTAGCATTCACGTGGTAGTCGTGTAAACAGACTTGGAGTCTCTTATGAAAGCTGACTGGAGAAAAATTGAAGATTGGGCAGTAAAACCAGGAAATTAACTTGTATGTTCAAATATTTAGTGAATCATGTGTTGGCTTATTTGTAACTCTGCATCTTTCAAGGTGTTCTGAATAATATCATCAAACACTAAT